CTCACATATCTTGAGAAAGTATGCCTTAAATTCATCTGGAACCAGAAGAGACCCAGAATAGCAAAAGCAATCCTGGGCAACAAGGAAAAGTCAGGTGGAATCACAATCCCTGACCTGAAATTATACTATGAAGCTAGTGTAATAAAATCAACCTGGTGCTGGGTAAAACACAGGCCTGAGTATCAATGGAACAGACTGGAAGAAACAGCCACAACCAAAAACACACTCAGCCACCTAGTCTTTGATAAAAGGGCCAAACAAACCCACTGGAAGAACAATAGCCTCTTTAATAAATGGTGCTGGAAAAACTGGCTTGCTACCTGCCAAAGACTGAAAATAGACCCAAGCATATCACCATGCACCAAACTCAAGTCAAAATGGTTCACAGATCTCAATATTGAAACAGAAACACTCAATCTATTGGAAAAGAAAGTAGGTAAAAACCTCGAAGACATAGGGGTAGGCAGAGAGTTCATAAACAAAAACCAATTTGCAAGTGAAACACTTGAAAGAGTCAACAACTGGGATCCCATCCTACTGAAAAGTTTTTGCACATCTAAAGAAATCACCAGCAAAGTAAAAAGAAAACCCACTAACTTGGAAAAAATTGTAGCTGACTCTCTCGCAGACAAAGGGCTTCTATCTAGAACATATAAAGAGTTAAAAAATATCAGCCCCCTACCGCCCAAATTCAAAGACCCAATCCAAAAATGGGCAGCTGAGATGCATATACACTTCTCAGAGATAAGGAAATACAAATGGCAAATAAATACATGAGAAAATTTTCAACATCATTAGCCCTTCAAGAAATGCAAATTCAAACAACGCTGGAATTCCACCTTACCCCAGTGAGAATGGCTAGCATTAGGAAATCAACCAGTAACAAATGCTAGCGAGGCTGTGGTGAAATAAGAACCGTTCTCCACTGCTGGTGGGAATGCAGACTGGTGAAACCACTGTGGAAATCAGTTTGGAGATTCCTCAGAAAACTAGATCTAGAGGTCCCATTCAATTCAGGTATTCCCCTTCTGGGTATTTTCCCAGAAGATCTAAAAACATCATATCACAGTGATATATGTGCACCTATGTTCATAGCAGCACAATGTGTAATTGATAAATTGTGGAAGCAACCCAAATGTCCATCCACTGAGGACTGGATAAGAAAATTGTGGTACTTTTATAGAATGGAATATTACTCAGCTGTAAAGAAAGATAAACTCGAGGCCTTTATATTTAAATGGTCACAACTAGAGACCATACTCATAAGTGAAATAAATCAAACATGCGTGTGCAAGCACCGCATTGTTTCACTAGTGTAAAACCTGAAAGAGTTAATTTAAACTAGGAGGTATGATAGACATTGTGAAATGATAGGAAAACACTCAAGGGTAAAGGGCAATTGGGATGTGGGAAAAGAGAAGGGAAAGAAGGAGAAATTTTGTATGTATGTATATACAGGATAGTTAACATAGTTGTTCTACTGTCTTCTATTTCTTTGCTGAAAGAAACTGTCAGTGAGTCCTTGATTGATCAATATTGCCTGTCTCTATCTGTTTTCATGAGAAACCACTTTGAAGCTATCAGTATGTAATACAACAAGCATTGTTAATTTCTTACCACAATGTTTGTAACTCTGTATTGTCTGTACTGTTCTTTTGCTATTTTGCGAAAGGTTGTCTGTCTGTTAATGTTTTCCTCCTTTTATTTTTAAAATAAAAGAATAAAGCGAATGCAATCCTATTATTGAATATAAATTGCAAAAATAATTAGGAAAAAGTAAGCAAAATTTAGACATAATCATGAAAAAGTAGTAAACAGGAAGAAATATACGTTTAGCATCTCTCTCATAAATGTGGGACAAATGCAAAAGCTATGTGTAAGATGAAAAGCTTAAACTCATATATGTCAGTAGTTACATGAGACAGAAAAATGTCATACAACACACACATTCTCCCTACAGCTGACATACTAAAATATATTACATAAATAATGAACATAAAACAGTAGAAAATACAGCATAAAAACAGATATTTTAAAAAATGGATGTAGCTAGATTCCTTTCAAAGTAGACTCTCAGATAACTGTAAACTAACCTATCTATCCCTGCAAAGCTCCAAAATTTAGTGGCTTAAAACAAAAACAATTTATGTATTTGTTTGGGAGCCCAAAGACCTCTTCATACTTTATCAGTCTCAAATCCTCTTAGTCTAATTAGCTGTCTCTTATTGATAAAGCTATCTTTAAAAAGCCAAGAGCCTTTTTCCTGTATGAAATTGCTTTTTAACTATTGTTTTTCACTAAGTTTTTTTAAAACTAAGATTTCAGAGGCAGAGGGATACATCTAAAGAAGTGTTGGCTATTCATTTAAATAAAATATAAATTGCTGTGAGGTTACCAGTGGCAGGCATGAGGCAGAATTTTCTGAAGAAGGTCCCCTAGTGACCTTTCTAAAAATGGCCTATTAATAGGAAATTGCCCCAAATTCCCATTTGATTTTCTCCTTCTTTTTCATTTTTGTTTTTTCCAATGGTGTATTTTCAAACAGACTGTGTTTGAGCTAATTATTGCTTCTGTTTGATTTACTCTATTATTGATGTCTTCCTTCATGTTTTAATTTTAGTGAATTTTTCAGTCATGTTTGATTTTCAAAAATCACTTCTATCTCTCTGCTAAATTTCTCTGTTAGAGTTTTGAATAATTTCTCTATGTTCTCTTAAAGCTCAGTGAATTTCCTTACAACAACTCTTTTAAATTCTACATTTGAGATTTTGCCCATCCTGTCTGGTCAGTTTCTGCTTTCTTAATTTGAATGTAAAGTGAACTCATGGTTGCCTGATAGCAATCAATGCTTGCTAGTGTACAACATCATTTGCACACTGAACAGTAAGGGTGTTTATTCCAGTCTTTGTAATCTGGCTTCATGCCTGTTTTTCTAGAATTTCAAAGAGGGTGCTCATTTTCTCTGAGCTGTAGTCATTTCTGCTAGTTCAGCTGAAGATGGTACTGTAAATCCAGCTTTTCTGCAAGTCTGCTGTTGCTGTTTTGTCACTGTTTCACTACCAGAGGGCAGTTCAAGTCCAGAGTCATCCCAACTCTACAGTTGATGTGTTATTCAAGATAAATTGAGGGAGTGACTAAAAATAGGTAGTTTATTATAAACCTATAAAAATAGGTATTATTATAAGCCTCTTCCTGGGGCTAAGGTTGGTCAAAATGCTTCATCCAATAGCCACTGACGTGTAGTCAACAATGTAAACACTTAAGCCAGCTTTGGGTAGAACTACTATACATGGGAATAATCTCAAGACTTCTGTGCTATGCCTGTGGCCAAGAATGTTGAATGTTGTATCATACACTGAAGGCACAGCACCCTGGCACCAGCACAAGACTCTGTAAGACCAAGGCACATACTGCTATTGGCTGCTTACTGCTGAGAAGTACCTGTGGTCCCAAAGCAGTGCAATCTGCCACAGGTAATGCCAGCCAGAATAGGAACCATACAAATGAGGGCTGTGTGTTAATATTTGCATAGTTTGTCATCTTATTATTGCAGATTTATGGTAGAACTGGTAGTAAAAAGAGAACTAGAAAATCCCCATTTATTGCAAGTTGAATATTTTAATAATTCATGATAACAGAAAATATAGAAATTAGAAGTACATGTAGTTAATATCAGTATCATGAGCAAAGGCGTTGCGTTTTTTATTTTTTTATAAGATTAAGTACATATATTAGATGCACAAATCCACAGCAAAATATTTATAAGGTAATGGAAGGAAAAGTCATGTGGTCCTTTCTATTTGATGTTTATTAAAATATATGATTTAATTCAAGAAGTGAGCAGAAGAGGCCACTCATAGAGAAAGATTTAAATTTTGATTCCATTTATAAAAGTCAAAAAGAATCAATACCAGTCTCTAAAATTTGAGGAGGGGATAGAGAGCAAACAGAGTTTGGGAGGAGCCACAAGACATTCTTTGAGACCTTGGGTTTGGTCTATTTCTTGATCTACATGCTCGTTATATATGTTCGCATGCTTTGTAAGGATTAATTGAGCTACACTTTTTGTGTGCAATACTTTATAATTTACAACATAAACCATTTTTAAGAAGTAAGTTCAATTTAATTACTCAAGTAATCCAAAATTCAAAATGCTCCAAAATTCAAAGGTTTGTGAGCACTGACATGATTATACACTTTTGACTTGTATCCACTTTGTACGTGATATACTTTTCTTTCAAAGGGAAAATTGCAATAAAATAATGATATAAATTTGATAATATTTAAAATCAGGTTTCTCAAATTATTTGTGAATATTTCTATCTCTCTCTGGTTTTGTTATTAGTATACAAAAACTAGGCACTGTGGCTTTTCATCTGGTCTCAGCTCTTCATCTGGTCTACCTTGTGAAGGTAGATTGGTGAGTGAATAGCTGTTTAAATTAGTGTCAGTATGGGGGTATCATCACTAGAGCAACTTCACACCCTATGACTCTCAAGCTCGTGTATTAAACATTTTAAAAATTGCATCATTAAATACTTTTATTGTTACTATTTATAAATCAATTTTCTACATTTCAGCTGAACGTAGTTTTATGGATACTTTAGAGTCCAACAATTATATGTGTAAAGATATGTGACTTATTCATTACATCACTTGTTTTTAATAATAATCTCTCTTTTTTAGTTTGATTACATGGGCTCTGACATAAAGACTGTAACCCAGAAGGTTATTCAGCTCATGGGTCTTGTTAATTCTGTAAGTCTTAAAAACCATTTTGTTTATATAGATTATAAAAATATAGAATTTATGAACTGATGTGTTGTATTTTGCTGAGTTCTTGAAGACTCTGTAATCAAAATACTATGTTAAATGTATTCTATAAATTTTAATGTAATATTCAAATTTATTTAAATATTCTCATTTATTTTTCCTTTTAGATGTTTGCCCAGTTAAAACTGACTATTCTAATATCTTCCATTGAAATCTGGTCAAAGACAAACAAAATTACAACTACCGGGCATCCTGATGATGTTTTATTTAGGTTTTTAGCATGGAAACATCAACATGTTGGTCTGAAACACCATATTTCATACTTATTAGTGTAAGTGTAATGTCCTATGCTTGTAACATTAAAGGAATAACCTAAAATAACTTAGTATGTGAAGTATAAAAATGAAGATTTACTTTTTATCCATTGTGTTCTATAACTTGACAGATACGGCTTATGAAAAAATGTGAAAAAGATTGTTTCTCCTCGAGGAGCTAATGTGAAGCAAACTTTAAAAAGTTTTTATCAAATAACATAAAATTCACAGAAGAGCCAGTGTACAGTGATGTGCTTATATTTACCAGTAAAACTTAGGAAGGAAGGCTGCATGTTATCTGTTTGAACCACAATAAAATTTAAAAAGAATAATGAAAATATAAAGTTACATAAAAAGTGAAATAGTGAAGATTTTAATAATGAATTGTATGATTTCCTTTGGTTTATACTCTTTTCTAACCTGTTATCAAATTTCTATATTTCTGTCCCTCATCTAATTGTTATAGTTTTATTTCTTAATAAAATAAAAACATTGAATTGTCATGTTCTCTAGAATCTGTGTACAAATATTCGTTTTTATTAAATAAATATTTATGTAATAGAAACTTGAATGTTGAAGAAACCAGAATGAAAACTATAACCATTAGTGCAGTGACATTTTATATGAATTATTAAGTCTTGTCTTCCTGTTCTGGAATGTTTATCATTCAAAATTAATTTACTGAAATATTCTTAACACTGTGAAGGTTTAAGAAAATATCTAGTATAATTCAGAGCAGCATAGTTCTTCAGTTACAGTAATTGTTCAGTGATGTTTGCTACTATGAAATTTATCATTATTAATATGCACTTATGAGTAAAATTCTTATTTTTTAGTTTTGAGAAACATCCTACCTTTATAGGAGCCACATTTCCAAGATATATATGTGATAAGAATTATGCTTCAGGAGTTGCTCTGGTATGTAATAACTTTCTAATTAACTGTGATTTTTATGTTGTAAAATTTTCTAAGTATTTAAAAGCATGAATACATTATATATTTTTAGTTTGCTCATCTTTTTATAGCTTTTATATTAGTAATTTGGAACATTAAACAGTTTATATTGCTTAAAAGTAGAATATTTTCAAGCTGAACTGATCATAATATACTGGATTTTAAAAGAATGTTTCATCTTTGTAAATCCATTTTGTTTTGAGCAATGGCATGGTATACATTCTTTTTTTAACATAGTAACTGCAGTCTTTATGTTAGTTATCAAACACTTACTATTAATTTTTCTTTAATTATTGGTATATATCCTATACTTCATTAAATTCATTATATATTTTGCTTCTAGGCAATTGAATTAAATTCCTTATGCACATTGGGGAGGAGCAGACTGCTGCACCAAAATGTGCTGATTAAATATTCATAATCTATAGTTTTGTAGGGAAAGGGAGAATAAACTTTTTCAACACGATCAACCTTTTTACGAGTTACATAAATTAGAACAGGGAATTACAGTGCTTCAGAAAAAGAGGTCTGCACTATGATTTTTATGTTGACTTATTTGTTGTTTTTTAGTGGCAAGTACAAAGAAGCAAATTTACATTGCTAGATTAGTTAAATCTAAAACTAATTCTGGTGTGTGTTTCATTACTATAAAATATGTATAGGTTGAATAGATGAATCTAAAGCCATCTGCATGGTTATTTGTTGCTATAATTAAATAATAATTTTAATGCTTCCTAGGACTTGTTTCCTCCTCCCTCTTTACTTGTTTTAATCTCTCAGCCAAGGATTGAGAAAAGCCCGTGAGCAATTGTTTGAATCTTTGTTACTTTTGATAATTGTACTTAAAAAATGATTTTTCTTGGCTGAGATCTTCCTTTTAAATTGAATGCATGTATATTTGTATGTATAAAGCAAACAAAGCAGATCATAACAATTATTTAATAGAATTGTTTACATATGTTTTCTTAATGCCATTATTTATAGTTTAATTTTGAAGCATATTTTTGTAATAAAAATTGGTAAATGAGAAAAGTAATCCATGAGTTAAGAATGTTATAAAATGGCAAATAAATATAAACATGTATCAATTATATTTTGTTTCTATTAGAAAGTTTGAAAGTTGCATTTTATGAAGATATATACCAATCATAATATAAAATATTTTAAATTAATAATTTTCTTCAATATAATCATTTTAGTGAATTTCTTGAAATCACTCAGTCCTTCAACCTTGCTCTCTGACAATATTATACATAATACACACATAAATATATATTTTCATTTTCAGATAAATTTTAGAATCAGCTTATCCAGGTACACACAAGCAGATACACACACACACACACACACAAACACACACAAAGAATGAAGAAAATGTTCAGGTGGGGTGTTGTTTAACTTGGGATGATCTGACATCTAAGATTATTCTCTTTCTGTTTTCAAATCTTCTAAACATTCTCTGACATAAATTTACAGTTTTGAATATAGAGGTTTTATACATCTCTAAATTTATTCTTAGTAATTTTATGAGTTCTGATGCTATTGAAACTTGTATTGTTCAATTTTATTTTCAGTTTTTTATTGCTAGTAGATAGAAATATATTTGACATACATAATTGAAATATACATGGGTGTGTATATCCTATAATCATGTTAAATTTATATGTGCAATCAATTACATTTCTTATTCCTTTAGATTTTCAGTATACAGCATCATTTTTGTCTATGAACAAATATAATTTTACTGATTATTTTTCTTTCCTTAATTAATTTCCTTGAGTTCGATGGCAATGTTTAATAGAAATGATGGGAAAGAACATCTTTTGTTTCTCCCACATAGAAAGAGAATATGTTCTCCGTACATACATATATGTTCGGAGATCTATATATGTATGGAGAATATGTTCAATATTTTTTCAAGAATTATGAATCTAACTATGGTGTGTGTATATGGAGTGTATGTATGTGTGTGGTGTTTTCCTCTGTCAGATAATGGAAATTTCATCCTTTTATTTATCTACCATTAATTAATATCATGAATGGCTGAGCATTCAAATAAATTTTCTTTTTTAATGGAGATAATCCTATGTTTAGTAAACATAGTGATTATATAAGTTGATTTTTAAATTGGCCCTGTTTTACATTCTTTATTGCACTTGACCCGTAGTAGATTATTTTTTCATCTTGATGGATTTTGTCTGATACTATTTTGTTAAGGTTTTATTTAATTATTTCTTATATTGGTTTCTCTTGTGATTCCTTGTAGGATTTTTTTGTACTAAGATTATGATTGTCTCATAGAAGAAGTAGGAAATAGGCCGGGTGTCGTGGGCCACACCTGTGCTCCCAGCACTCAGGAGGCTGAGGCAGAAGGATTGTTGTGAGTTTGAGGCCAGCCTGGGCTACAAAGTGAGCTCAAGGCCAGCCTGAACTACACAGTGAGACCCTTTTTAAAAAAAAAAAAAAAAAAAAAAAAAAAAAGTAGGAAGTATTCACCTTCTTTATTTATGAAGTACTTTGCATAATGTTGATATTATTTCTAATTAAGTTAAAAAAATTTCACTAGTCAAGCTAAAAGAAGAGGCTTACTTTGTGGAAAAGTTTAAAATTAAGAAGCCAATTTATTTTATATTTATGGGACTATTCAGTTTATTTCTTTTTTGTGTGGATCCTGATAAATGGTGGTTTTTTGAAAAAATATGTGAATTTCATTAATACATTAAAGTAGCTGGTATAGGTTCCTCATAATATTCCTCTTCTGTGGTAGGATCTATAGTGATGTTCTCCTCATTTTATTTTGAGATTGGTCTTTGTAGGGGTTTATCAATTCTTTTAAATTTTTTAAAATGGGGACTGGGGATTTACCTAGCGGCACAGCGCCTGTCTGGTAAGAGCAGGGTCGTGAGTTCGATTCCCAGTACCGGGAAAAAGCCAAAATAAATAAATAAATAAATATTTTAAAATGACTAAAACGTTACTTGACCGTTTTGTTTTCTACTTTATTGATTTCTTTTGTTCATTAATATCTTTATTCTAATTTGCTAAGGTTGATATTGCTTTTTCTGTCTTAGCTTTTAAAGGCAGAAACTTAGATACAGGATCTATTTGAAAACCTTAAAATATAGGTGTTTAAAGCTATGAATGGTTTGTTAGTGTGAATTTAACTGTATCCTAGTTATTCTCATGTTTCATAGTTAAGTTCGAAGCATTTTCTAATTTCCTTTTATTTCTCATTTAGCTTGAGACAAGTGTGCTGTTAAATTTTTAAATATTTGTGTATGCTGTTATGTTTTGCTGATATTTTGTCGCTTGATTCACTTGTCAGTAATACACTCTATACTATTATATCCTTAGATATTTGTTGTAACTTTTTATACATAAGATCTATATATGATCTGACATATGATCTACATCAGCATATTTTTCAAATATACTTAAGCAGAAGATGTGTTCATTATGTAGTTCCTACACGTAATATTATATAAATATTTACTATACTGAGTTGATGAACACTGTTTTAGATGTTTGTCTGCTACTAGAAATTACTGAGATATTGCTGTTAAAAACATAATAAATATGATTTTACATATTTTCCTCATTAATTCTATCAATTTCTGATCCATATACTTGGAGACTCTAATTTTAATTGCACAATTATATAGGAATGTTATGTATTTTTGACACATTTGGCGTTCTATCATTATGAGATATTTCTCCTTTCCTATGACTCTTTGCTTTGAACTTTGCCTTGCTTGATATTAGTACAGCAATTTCACATTTATACTGATAGCATGGCATATTTTTCCCACTTCTACCTTCTACCTCTCTAAGGCTGCATTTTTGATAACTATTCTGTAATTATGCCTGTTTTTAAAATCTATTCTGGTAATATTTGCTTTTAACTCAATTGTTTACCTCATAACATTTAATGTGGTTATTAAATTTGGGTGTAGGGATATAAATTAATTATTTGTTTCTCATTTGTGTTCTTTTTTCCTTTTTTTGTTTCCTTTCATTTTTAGTTGTTTTTTTTTTTTTTTTTTCCAGTACCGGGAATTGAACTCATGACCTTGCACTTGCCAGGCAGGCACTGTGCCCCTGAGCTAAACCCCAGCCCCTTCTTTCATTTTAGATTGTAATAAAATTGATATGTTTATATACTAGTGTCTGTTAAATTATTATTATACCACTATATGCAGTTATTCCATATCAGTATAATTCCATTTTATGTCCTTTAGGTCCAAATATAATTGTACCATACAAATGCATTTGGACATATAAAATATATTTTTTTATACTTCTCATGGTACAGCTTAACTTTTCCCCTTTAATTGTGAAATGCTTTTCCAAAGAACTAGGAAAAGAAAAAAATTTAGTATTACATCTTTTTTCTTTCATTTTTTTAGTTTTTATTTAAATTTTATTTTATTAGTATGTGTGTGTATAGCACATAATGTTTACATTTCTTGTATAAAGTTGGTACGCATACATAACAAATCTTGGTTTCCTTTTCATCTCATTTCCCTTCCTTTCCTCCCCCATCTACCAAACTCTTGATCCCCTTGCTTTTTAGATGTTGTATTCGGATCTCTCTTCTTATGGAATGCTATATATCTTTGTTGAACTACTTGCTATTATCCTACTGGTCATTAAACATTCAGTTTACTTTTTGGTTTTTTGTTTTTTTTTTTTTTGGTTTTTCTCCGGTACCGGGAACTGAACTCACGACCTTGCACTTGCCAGGCAGGCGCTTTGCCACTGAGCTAAATCCCCAGCCCCATCAGTTTACTTTTCAGTGTATTTTTTTTTCTGTCATTCATTTGAGATAATTTTAAATACATTTGTCTATTCTTTTTTATTATAAGAGAATAAAATTAAGAAATACAAAACAATAAAAATGATACAGAATTTCAAAACAAGATGATAGGAAATTAACAAAGGTTGTTATATTGCATATTGTTATC